CGAAAGAAGCAGCGTGACGCGCCTGAGTCATGCGTGAAAGTGTGCAAGGCCTCAGCTGAGGCAGGACCTGTGGCAGTAGACGCACGAGCACCTAAAGCTGCAGCAGACTCACTAGCACTTGGAGCGGCAACAGACTCACTAGCACCTAGTGCGGCAGCAGACTCACTAGCACCTAGTGCGGCAGCAGACTTACTAGCACCTAGAGCAGCAACCTATACTGAACCAGGGACACATCGCTGAGAAAACAACTCATTAAGCATCTGCGGGGAGGTGGTCTCCTGGCGCGCTGGGCTGCGAGGCGCAATGGCGCGCTAAGCAGGCGCGCTGGCCTACGGGCCGCGCTGGCGCGCTTAGGGCTGCGGGGCGCGCTAGGGTAGAGGCTGCTCGCGGCAGGGGCGCTCTAGGGAGGGGCTGTTCGCGGGCAGCAGGGGCGCGCAGGGCAAGGGCTGCTCGCGGGCAGCAGTGGCGCGCAGGGCAAGGGCTGCTTGCGGGCAGCAGGGGCGCGAGGGGCAGGTGCTGCTCGCGCACAGTAGGGCGCGCGAGGCAGTAGCCGCTCGCGGGCAGGAGGGGCGCGTGTGACAGCTCGGCAACACGCTAGGGCAGGCAGTGCGAGTAGCTGCAGGGCAGTGCGACACTAAGCGAGCAGGGCCGGACAGCGCAAGGGCGCTTCGGGCAGGAGAGAGCGGAACTATCGGTGGGCCCAATAAACCTAACAGGTTTCCTGCTCTGATACCATGTCAGAATAACTGTGCATGAATTATGGATTAGCAATGAGTTGGGTTACAAGTACGAACCCTAGAAGTGCTGTACCCCATAAGGAGTGCCCCACTATAGCCTAACAAGCAGAATGCAATTTGACACGGGCAGCTCCCCAAAATCTGATAGCAAGACAGCAAGTCGGCAACCGCTGATCCTCAGGTTGTGCAAGCTGCCCAGGGAAGTGAATACAAAAGGGAGCTGTTGGATCTTGCATCGAACGCATGCACAGACTCCATAAGCGAGAGCTGGCTGAAGGAGTCTGAAATGAAAGTGGCAGGTCCTCCAACTCCAATTCATACATGGCGAGGAACTCTACATATTTTGCTAGCAGACTAGCAAGTCGTCAATCGCGGCCGTGCAAGCTGCTGAAGGATGCGAATCCGCCATGTCGGTAAAAAATAATGAGCGCAGGTTCATGTGCTGAAAGAACGACGATGTTGGTCTTTTGCCATGCTCTACACGGTGGAGGGTAGCTGCTCCAGCTGCGGGCAGACACGTAATAAGCGGTCCAGCCTACGCGTAGTCACCAAGAACATATCCAACCACTCTACGTGTCTCCAAAAGTAGCATGATCTCTTTGATGCTAGGTGCACCCTTTCAATTTGGGGCATCACAAGCAAAGGTGGATCAAGAAAACGTCGGTGAGGTCCTCTATACTTTTAGTGGAGAGATGCAAATGGCATGCGTTGACCTTTTTTTAAACCTCGAGCCTGACGAGTTGTCCTTCTTTGACCATCAGCGTCAATACGTGTTCCTGGGGAAGTTTGCGCCACGGACGTCAGACAGACATGGCGAGAAGGTTGTGAGTGGCATTAGCACAAGCCGGGAACGACGGTCCTTCTCCGTCGAATATGTTATATCCAGGTTCTGTAAGGGTCGCATGAGGATCAATGGGGCTAGCGAGCAATAAAACCGCAATGAGGAGGTCTCTGGAATATCGTTCATGGATAAAGTAGAAGCGACGAGAGGAACGGCATCTTCCGACGGGACGGGGCGGCGGCGTCGAGCACTGAATGTGTACGTCCGATGGGCTGGGGTAATGGGAACAGAGGGACACTGGGGTACACCTGATCCGCGCTATTTTAACCGCCGATATATCAACTACCTTTGTCCGCATTCAGTGACTAGACCGAGGGGCGGTTGAAACTGCTGTACACATTTGACCCCACATTTCGGGAAACGAATGATATTTTTTTACAGTTCAATATTGCCTCGAGCCCCAAACTTACGTATTCCCAATGAAGTTTGCGCCATCGACGTCAGACGGACACAGCGAGAAGGTTGTGACTGGCATCAGCACAAGCCAGTAACGACGGTCCTTCACCGTCGAATATCCGGGTTCTGTAAGGGTTGCATGAGGATCGATGAGGCTAACGAGCGATAAAATCACAATGAGGAGGTCATCGGGAAGATCGTTCATGGATGAAGTAGAAGCGACGGGAGGAACGTCATCCTGCGTCAGTGCATCCTCCGACGGGACGGGGCAGCGGCGTCGAGCACTGAATGTGTACGCCCGATGGATGGGGTAAGGGGAACAGAGGGACACTGGGGTACGCCTGATCCGCGCTATTTTGACCGCCGACATGTTAACTGTTACAGGCTAAGGACGGAGTCTACGAAGATTAGGTGCCTAAAATTCTCAAAATCGTTGGCTTAGAATTCTGGACAGAAAAGTCGCGCTCACAAGAAACGCTGTCGACGAAAAGTTCACGGTCAAAACTCACATATGATGTAGCCCTAGTCCGTGGCTACAATTCCCAATTCGAATCGTATCAAGAGGTGAAGTAAATCTCGACTTATCAATTTCGGCGCACAGGGGGGTATGCTGCCATAAGAACTTAACTCAATCACAATAGTCTCACACAAGTTCACAATTACTACACAAGAGAGTTAGAGTAGCACTAAACCATGTGGAAGGGATGAGGAGGACGAGAGGGGAGGTCCCAAGAGAGTCCCCAACCAAGGAAACCCCATGCCACACAATTCCCTTCCCCATAGGCAACCCAACTTTGACATTTGTCACTATCCCAACCTCCACAATCCACCTCAACCCAACTTGGCCACACTTGCCAACCTGGTTTGGTTTCTCCCAACCATTTGGCAGCAACTACAATAGAAAAGACGAATTTCCCAACCCCCAAAAGTCTGTACCCCATATTGAGTCAACCCCACAACTTCCCACAACCAAATATGAAAAGCATACGAACTCCAACGTTCGTAACTTTCTTGTTTGTGCTCCGATTGAAGTGATACTTGGTTCGTCGGAAAGCTCTTGAGCAGAGGAGTCACTTCAGATATCTGCTCAAGCCAAATAACATTCACACATACTCAGGAAATCCAAACCACATCAAACACAAATTCTTGCACACGCTCACACCACGCGTGCAACGCACGAACATATGATGGGAGGCAGACAGGCGTGAATGCGAATGGTAGCATCACTCAATATTAACTACGTTTGTCTGCATGCAGTGACTAGACTGAGGGGCGGCTGAAACTGCTGTACACCATTGACCCCACATCCCGGGAAACCAATGACCTTTTTGTACAGTTCAACATTGCCTCGAGCCCCAAACTTACGAGTCAACACCCCTTCCTCGGATTCAGGTCACATTCCAATATCACCTCCGATTGGAGCGAAATGTTTCGAGAAGACTGCGTGTTTGGGGAATGCAGATTACGTCAAGCTCTCTCGACTGAAAAACGCCACGTCGAGACGGAAATTTCACGAACAATGATCTTGGCCATTAATCTCAAGAAATAAACGTCCTACATTCGAAGTCAACGAATTGCAGACGGAATGGGCTGCGAAGGAATTCGCCAGCAACATGTATGAACTCGCTGCTCATCAAGCCAAGAGCTCCTTAGTAAACGTCAGCAACTCCTTAGTAAACGCCAGCAACTACACCCACCCCTACAAAAATGTGGCGATCACCTGCCTGGAGAACAAAAATACTCACCAGGATCTCGTGGCGTGGTGTATGGAGTTCCGCAAGAACCTGGCACGCTCTACCGTTACTCAAACTTTGGGGAATAAGGCAAGGTGGATGGCTCCATTGGATCTTCCTCTAACGACGAAGTGACTGCGTTCCGGAATTTTTTCGGAGCTCGAGCAACAACTGAAAGAGTGGGCAATGGGGCACATCAACGATAATCGCCCAATGCCTTTTCATGTGCTCCAGAAAAAGGTCGCTGAAAAAGCGAGGGGCTTGAACATTGTCTCCACGTTAAAGAAAAGTTGTGGGTGGTTATGCCGAGCGTTGGTTCGCATGTGACTCTCCTCGTACTTTAGGAAAGGGGAGGCAAAAGATGAATGCAAGGAGTCAATAGCACATGCGCGGGAGTTTCTCCCTTTCTTGCTAAAAAAATGGGTTATGAGGCGCCCGGATGTCTATAATATGGATGAGACCGCATTTTTTCATGCGCGACAACCGCGGCATACATACGCCAACGAATCTATTGCCGGCGGAAAACACCACAAAGAGAGATAAATGTTCGCCATTTGTTGCAACGCTGATAGGACCGACATGATGCGCCCGATTATCATTGGGCGGTACATGCGTCCCACCTCCTTTGGATTTCCCCGCCGCTCCCCCTACCGCTCTCCCCGCCACATCTCCCGTTGCCCCCCTGTCCATTCCCCGTGCCACTTCCCCTGACCTTCCTCTTCCATCTCCTCTGCAATCCCCAGACGGAAGCAGCGCGCACTCCAATCATCAGGAAACTTTGCAACATCTTCATCACCCCGTGGCCACTCCTCCCACTCTGAATCGAATTGCTTCCAAGCCAAAGGTTTGGGAATGGCAGCAGCAGGCTCGGAAGGTCCCGAAACTGGTGGCGCATGGGCAGGATTCTGCCGTGTTGGCTCCTATTGAAGCATTTCCTCGCTGAGATGAAATCTGAGCCGAAATTCGCACCCACTGCAGGATGCGGCCAATCCGATACGTTAACACTGCGACGATCGGATTCGTGTTGACAGAGACAAGGGAAGGGGCGGGTGTGTAAGGGAGGCCAGTGAAAAATGAAGCACCAGCAAAGGAGGTGATGTCATGACCATTTGAAGCCGAAGAGGTGATGTCTGATAAGAGAGCTACTTGACCCTCCTTCCACTCCCTTGCTACCCTCGCCCTGGCCACCATGTCCCTGCTGAGCCACTCCCTGGCATCCTGCATCGCTGCATCGTGCACGCGTAAAGTGCTCGCGCTGTCAGCGTCCATGCAGAACACCTCCCCCTGATTGCGCTACCCGCCTTTGGACAGCACAGAGGTAAACTCGAGGGTCAGCTCAGTGGCGCCCACGCTGCTCACATTCATGCCCGTGGGAGCGCTGTAGCCCACAGGATTATCCACACTCGTGCTGCTTCTGCTGCTGCTGCCACTCTCACTGCAGTGGCTGCACTGGAACTCCCTCCTTTCCGTCCCTCCATGCTCCAGAATCCAAGCCATGCCATCCACATACCTTCGCCACACAGGCCTATTCAAATGCTTCCTCCCCTCCCCTCCTGCCCTTCCTCCCATCACTAGCCTCCTACGCCTCGCGTCCCTGCCCCCAGCCTCACTCTCGCCCACCATGCACACCACCGTGCCACCCCCCTCCTCCTGCATGTCCCCATCCGTCCCCATAATATCCCTCACCCTCATCGTCACATCTGCTGCCATATGTTTAATCCTCCCCCCCACCACGCCAACCATCCTCATCATAGCCTCAAAGAGGCAGCCCATGGAGCCATCCCCTCCCACCTGCGCCAAACGTGTTCCCTACCCCTACCCCTCCCGGCCCTACTGCACTCCCAGCTCGCCTCTCCCTCTCCCCATTGTCCGTCACACCCCCCGATAGCAAGTTTTGCATGACGAACCCAAACTTTTCCTTGAGGTCTTCAGGCTCCTTCACCCCGAAAATTTGTACCAGCAGGGATGCGAGCCCACCCTCCTTCTCCTGCCTGCCCGCCCCCAGATGAGCCACTAAGGCTGGAAACGTGGGCGAGTCGGAGTTCATAAGCACCTTCCATAGAGCCACAATGCAGGGCAGCCTCGCTACAAGAACAAGAAAGGTGGCGAAGCTGACAGAACGGCGGTAGTCAGCCCAGAAGACAGTGCAGCGAAAGCAGCAGGAGCAGGTGACAGAGGGAGGAGGTGTATGCGCTGACACAGGAGCAGCGACGGGGTCGATAGGAGGGATAGAAGCAGCGGAAGGAGCAGGGGCAGGGGACTGAACAGCAGGCGGTGCAGGCCCAGAATGGTCGGCAGGCGGGATTTGATCCTCCGCCGGTGTCGGAAGCTTGTAGCTTCTCTCGTGTCACCTCTCTTCACCTTCTCTTCTTTCTCCCTCACTAAGGGCTTGCCTAGCTTTCTAGAGCTCACACTCGGTCTCCTCACTAGAGTGTTGAGATAGGGTTTCTTAGGCGTGCCTACAATGCTCGGCAGACTGCCTGCTTGAACTGGCTCCTCAGTAGCTAATGCTTGGAATAAAGTCATCAACTAACAGTGAGAAAACAAACAAGCAAGCAGGCGGACTATGCCTGCGTTTCTCCTAAGTGGTGCTACACTTACCGTTGCTTAGCCATTCGTTACCATCCATCTACAGTGTTCCCGCTTGCCTCGGCCTCCCGCCACCTCGGCGAGTCGGTCGTTAGCTGGCCTTGTTATTATTTGTTCGCCTCCTTCCTACACTACTTGATCCTGTCATGCAAATATATATGGCTACTCAGGTGCAGTCCTATTATCAGTTTGGCCTTATTAATTGTGTGACAGCTGTCGGACGCTTGTAGCTTATATTGTGTCACCTCCCTTCACCTTCTCTTCTTTCTCCCTAACTAATGGCTTGCGTGGCTTTCTAGAGCTCACACTCGGTCTCCTCACTTACCCCCTCCTCAGCTTCACGCCTCCTGGGTAGCCGATGGACATCTTGAGGTAGCACCGTCGTGTCTCCTTCCTGTTGCTTCCCTCTTCAGGTTCCCGTCTTCCTCTTCGGTCCAGCCGCGGCCACGTTGATGATGTGGTCCCTCCTCTCCTCTCCCGTCTCATTCACCAGCACAATCACTCCTGAATCTTTCACCTCCATCACTCCCCATCTAGCAGTCATCAAGCCAATGTCCAGCAGGTCTTTCTTGACCTGCTTCAAACGTACCTCTCCACCAGCCGAGATCACTCTGTTCCCCATCCCTCCCTTCCCCGCTCCCCTCTGCCGGTACCTCTGCACGTCCCTGAGCTGTGCTACGTGCAGGTTCTCTAACGCTGCTGGCAGCAGCTCCCTCAAATTCTTGGCCCGCGCCTCTGCCACCGCCACCCACTTCTCTTCTGACCCAGCGATGACGGTGTCGCTCAGAAGCTTGGGCACGTCTATCAGCAAAATCGGCTCTCGGCCCAACAACAGGTAGTACGGCGACAAGTCTTTTATCGTCGCTTGCTTATTGAAGCGGTATCTCGCCGCCACCTATGGCAGTCTCAGGTCCCAGTCCCGCTTGTACTGTTCTCCATAGGCCCTCAACCCCTTCTTGATAGTCTGCACAATTCTCTCGGTCAACCCGTCGCTCTGTGGGTGGTACCGCGACGTCCTCCGATGGGTGATGACGGTCTCTTTCAGAAGCTGGTCGAACTGCCCTTGGAACTCAGTGCCCTGGTTGGTTAGCACTTCCCCGCAAGCCCCGAACTGTTGGGTGCAAATTCACATTGCACAACATCCTGCCGTCTGTTTGTACGAGTATGCAAATACGAATGCATTTGGATGTGAATGGAATGTTCGTGTGTTTGTTTGCTTTCGCAATTCATGCTTGAAGCATTTGCAGGTACTCGCGCATTGTGCGCTTCGGCATAACATTGTATGCGCTATAACAGTACAAGCAGAAAGGACGAGCTTGCAAAGGAACCCAAGATGGAAGCTTTGCGGTTTGGCTAACTTGATTACGCAGATTCAGTTCTATCCAACTCGAGATTTTACTGTTTTGTTTGGTTGACTACAGTATAGCAGGGCAGGCACTATAGGGGTACAATTTAGGTGAAGGTTGGATGTTGTTTATCTGTATCTGCATGCTACAGGGCCATGGGAAACCAGCGGAACCAGCATTTGGCTGGTTGGGCAAAGACAAAACAGGTTCTATTTTTAGGACCTGAACTTGGTTGTTGTTTTCCCAGGTTGGAAAAACAGAACCAGAGGTTGTGTGCCAACATACCACCTGTTGTTTTGTCCAGCCAGGTTGGTTCTGTTGCTTGGGATTATTTGGGATCATCCCTGGCTGTTCCCAGGTTGATTCCCAAGGTCCTTGCTAGCTAGAACTATATATTCCTTCTTTGTTTGTACCTTGATATAGTCAATTTGATTTAAGCGAATTCCTCCCTTGCTGGAATTTCGTTTCTACGCGGTACGACGGCGAAATGTTACCCGAGTCAACGCTAGTACGCTAGCACTACGACGCTAGGCCAACGCTGTCCGAGCCATAACTCTGTAATGGCAGAACTTTTCGCAAGGCAACTTGGCTCATTTTAAAGCTCTTGGAGCGAGCTTCAATATAGCGAAGTTTCAGCTTAATCTGATCGACGGTCTGCACGAGGCGCTGCGCGACGTTCAAGGTACTCTTGCTGTTTTGACTAAGTCTCTCTTGATTCCTCTCTCTACAAACTCGGACCCGAGGATAGGGGCTGGTTTTATACCAGGCACCCAAGGACCCTTGGAGGTGACCCCGAGGAGAAGTTTTAAGTTTGATAAAGTCTTAGTAGCTTGAGTTTATTAGGCCCTTACACCAACAAGCTGGTATCAGAGCTGCGTTATAGTGATCCTCGTTATAAGTAGCTATGGCGGGCAATACCTCGGCAGGAGCTGGTGAATCTTCAGCCCAAGATCGTAGTGGCAGCCAAGATTATTGTGTTTCAGCGCCAAAGGGAGCGCGAACAAACCAGGGCTTGCTGGTCAAGGAGGTGCTGACGAACTTCACCGTCGAGAAGTTCAATGGTGAGGGCTATGATGATTGGGCCTGGAAAATGCAACTCTATTTCCGTCAGATTGGATTGCTGAAACTAATGATTGGGGAGGAGCCTATACCGAGTGACCCCACGCTGCAGGTAGATTGGGACGAGCGCTCCTCGGCTGGCTACTATTTGGAGCTGAACCAGCGTCACCACGTCATGCATCTGCTGCCGGAGGTTGAGTGCGGTCCAAAGGCGTGGACCTTGTTGAAGGATCTGCACGCCCCGACCTCCGTTGTTGCAACGTTGATGCTGGAGAGGGAGCTGTCCGCGTTGCGCCTGAGCGAGGGAGAGCCGGTGCAACCTGTCCTGGACAAGATGCGCGACCTCTACGCGAAGTTGGCGACCGCGGGAATCACCTACCCGGAGCAGACCAAGTCCTTGAAGATGCTCACGAGTGTGGCTTCAGTTCAGGAGTGGCTTGATTCTACCGCAGAACCAGAGCTCGTGGACACTCGAGTGGGTAGATTCTGGAGGAGGACTTCCGTCGCCGCCAACTGAGGGGTGGAGACGACGGCAGCAGTGGCTATGGGATGCAAGGGAGCCGACGTGGCAGAGGACGTGGCTTCGGTGGTGCTGGACGCCGTGCAAAGAAGGACGATGACTGCAACGACCAACAAGGAGGTACCGGTTGGGGTCGCGGTGCGAAATCTGGACGTGGGGGCAAGTCAGATGCTGGTGGCAAAAAAAGAAACCCGTTGCTGGTATTGTGAGAAGGAGGGGCACCCCTGGTTTTTGTGGTATAAGAAACCCGATGGATGGACCCCCCAGAATCGTCACCAGGATGGCGGCGCGCGGAGGAACCAGAAAAATGGCGCGAACATGGTCGTCGATTCGTCCGACAACAACCCGAAGAGCAACGGCGGTGTGGAAAAGAAGAAGGAGCGCACCGCGGGCCAGTTCTTCCATATTGGAGAGCAGGGGAAGCAAGGAGACGCCTCTGCCAAGGTTGGAGCAGAGCTGCACCCCTTGAACTATTGGGTGTTGGACAAGGGCGCTACTTGGACGATGACGCCGCGCAAGGACCTGCTGGACGACGTACGCGCTGCACCGATCAATGAGGTGTGCTCCGCCTCTGGACACGCGCTAAAGGTGGCTGGAGCAGGACGAGCTGCGTTTAAGGGAGCGGATGGTGGTGCTGCACGAAGTTCTCCTCGTTCCTGCTCTCAAGGCCAACCTCATCTCCCTCCGTAAGGTTTGCAAGGCTAGGGTGAGCACTAGCACGGATGGGGCACGCACGTACAAGGGGCAGCTGGGCAATCGGGTGCTTTGGGATCTGCATGGAAGCAGAGACATGTACAGATCCATGTGGCAGCTGCCGGCATTGGCGTGGCACAGTGAGGGGCAGGCTGGAGAGGGGTCTGCATCTCAGGGGGAGTGCAATGCCGTTGGAGGGGTTGGTGTGAAAGTGTCGGCCAGATCTGGGGAGACGGATTGGGCAACGGCACATCGACGCTTGGGGCATGTAGCAATGCCTTTGCTGAAGCAGCTGGAGAAGGATGGCGTCGTCAAGGGTCATGACAATTGTGAATCCAAATTCACCCGTTTCCCCTTCCATGGTGTGACTGGCAAGAGCAAGAAGCCTTTAAATTTGGTCCACATGGACTTGGTGGGGCCGCTGCCGGTTCAGGGGCACAAGGGGGAGCGGTACTTTCTGACCATAGTGGATGATTGGAGCAGGCTTATGTGGGCATATCCGTTGAAGCAGAAGGAACACGCCGCCTCTACGATACGCGAAGATTGGCTGCCATTCGTTGAGAAGCAAGCGGAGTGTGTGGTGAAGCGGATTAGGACAGATCGGGGTGGTGAGTTCCTTGGAGTTGAGATGACGGCCTGGCTCAAGAAGCAGGGCATCTAGAGGGAGCTGACCACGGCTTACACCCCACAGTCTAATGGTGTAGCAGAACGGGCGAACCGGACAATTCTGGAGACAGCTCGGGCGCTGCTCATAGAATCTGGGCTGGGCAACTTGATGTGGCCCCATGCTGTCCGGCACGCTACCGTGGCCAGGAACAGGGTGCTCACTACAGTTGGTAATGACTCGTGGGTG